GTTCACATACCTCAACTTCCCATACAACCTGCCACACCCAAGCAAATCCATCGGATTTGAAAAACAAAATTTTTTTTTGCTAAACATAAAATTATTGCGCCAATGAATGAGAGATCGGAGTTTGGTTTTAGGTGTTTTATACACTCAAGTGAGTGATTTTTCAAGTTCCTTGCCTTCTCTTTGCACGGACTTCTAAAAAGTGATAACTTTGAGCAAACACTCAAAAATTAAGACATCAAGAAAACAATTATCGAAGGAAAGTACTCACTCCCGGAGTGGGAAATCCAAGGCTTAGTGGAGTACGTCTCAGGCGGACTGTAACTCGGTGGGTTTTACTTCGCAATCCCCCGTGAGGCTCATGCGGTGAAGCTGGGCAACGATGCGTCCATTTCTCAAAATGTGAGCGTCAAGCCAGGGCTCAGTTTATTCTCTAACATTCAACGCCACCCGGACGTGTGCTCAAGACGAGGTGCTGAGGGTGCCGGGCAAGGAAGAATTTGGATTAGGTTGAGCATATAAATATATATATAGAAATTAAAAGTTAATAATTAATATATCATTTATTTAAATTATTTTCAGTTATTTTTCATTAATAAATTTGTTATTTATCATAACAATCATAATTTATTGCTTATTGTGCAACCATAAATTCTAAAAAAAATAACTGTTTAAGAAGATGCAATAAAGTCCTAAATAAGAACAAAAAGTATATGTAAAATGCTTACCCTATTTAATGCATAGGGTAGCATTTTATATATATATAGATTTAAATTAATTTAATAAACTCTTAATTTTGCTAATTTAATTTTATGATTTTAATTTTATCACACCAAAATAATTTTACCTAAATTTTCCATTTTGACAACTTTGGACACAATTCTTACAATTTAAAGACAAACAAGAGAGATGAAGGGACTCATTCTCCATTCATTCCACTTCGTCGCCCCCCCCGCCCCCCCCATTCAAATAAGTAACCCAAACATGTGAAGATGTGGCTTATGCTCCTTTCTTTCTCCTCCTACTTCTCCAAATCCAAAGCACAATTTGTTTTTTTTTTTTCTTTTTAACCCCAACAAATACTGAGTGACCTCGTAAAGGGCAGTTCTAACGCTTGTTTTTTCATTTACGATACTTCGCAGTACTCCGAAAGCAGGCTCCCTTTCATTCGCAGCAACATATCTTTATTCCAAACACGCTTTTAATAGAACAGGATAAAAGCTAAAAACGGAGTAGTGCCAAACTCAACGGTCAGAGAGTCCTGTCGACCAAGAGCAGAAACCGTATCCGACCACCACCGCCTTGTGATCGGTCGTGCTCGAGATTGATTCTGGGCCGTAATTTGGAGAGAAAATCACGAAAAGACAAGCACCAGAGAAAACACTGCAAAAATTTTATCCTCCTCAGAAAGTGGGTTTTTCCCTATGCGAAAAAGAAATCGACTGAAAGGTCCTCGGAACTGAGAAATCCGAGGAGCAGAGGAGAATATATTTCCCACCCAAGGTCGGTCTTTTGCTATGCTTTTATTTATTTATTTTTTCCAGCCATATTTAAGTTGAAGGTAAAGGAAAAAACTTTAAGCCTTAGCGTGACTCTCTGAAATCCATTGATTTTCAGTTCTCTTCTAGTTTTTAGTCTTGGTTCAGGATGAGATATCAATTGGGCTGTTCCATGAGTTTGGGGATCTCTATTTTTCTTACTCCAAATCAAGGATTTTTCTCAGCCTAGGGTGCCTGCGCGGCGAAACTTTTCTTTGTTGCGCTGAATGTATGCACGTTTGGTTTTATTGGCAACTGCTTGTTATCATTATGTGCTTAATTTATGTTATTTCTTAGTTGATTACTTATTTGGGATTTGAAGGTGCCTGAAAATTTTGTGTAATTTGTACTGGCCCCAACTGCTAGATTTGTGGTTCTGCAGTGTTGGAAAGAAGTGGGATTGGGGCTTTTTTTTTGTTGCTAATTGAAATTATTTTTTATAACAAAAACAATCATAATATACTGATTTCTTTTTCAATTTTTAGGACTAGTAAGTTGGTAATTGAATACTATAATGGATGATAAATACAACATTGAGGCTGCTGAAATTCTTGCCAACAATGCCCTGGTGCGGTACTGTTCTCTCTGTTTGCTTCTCAATCCAATTTTCATTGTTTGTTTTCAGTTTTCTTATTTGTTGCTGTTCTTTTCCTCTCTTTAGCATTTGCCAATTACGCAGGCAGCACCAATATATGAACAGCTTTTGTCAGTCTTTCCCACCGCTGTAAGTTCTTCATGATTTTTAATCTGTCTTTTTAAAGTTATTATTATATAAATCAAATGATGTAGTGTTCCTTTACTTTCTATTCAGCCATGCTAAAGCTAAAGCTAATACCATTTTTTTTTTCAGGCAAAGTATTGGAAGCAGTATGTGGAGGCAAATATGTTAGTTAATAATGATGATGCTACCAAACAAATATTTAGCCGATGCTTATTGAATTGTCTTCAAGTTCCCCTTTGGTAAGATTTTTTCCTGCTTGTACATTGCATGATTTGTGAATGTATCTTATTCCATTAGAGCACTTGAACTTTTATAGTTCTATAACCATGGAAAAAATTGCCTCTGTAACTTATAACAAAGATGCTACCATACTTCTGATTAATATTATTAACTCTTCCTCAAGCATTCTAAGAGAAAGAGAGCAATAGAGGTGTTATTGGATGGAATTGGATTTGTGATTCATTTAATTTAATGTTAAGACTTAAGACAACATTGCTGGGAAATTTAGGTCATTTATCTTAATTTAGGTCTTCTGGTTATACCCTTGTCTCCAATGTTTTGTTGTTACTGAGTTGCAATCTTGACTTCTTTTTTTTTTTTTTTGTTTGATGATAAAATAAAAGACATCTTCCCTGCAGCAAAGTTGTTTGTGTATGATTAAAATATGGTGCTTGGTTGGGTAGTGGATTTTATTTGATAAAAAGAAAGATGACTTGAGTTGAAAACTCACATCACACTGTTTGCATTGGTTTTCACTCTTTTGTTTTTTGGCAGGCAATGCTACATTCGATTTATCAGGAAGGTTAATGAAAAGAAGGGCGTAGAGGGTCAAGAAGAGACCAGAAAAGCTTTTGATTTTATGCTCAACTATGTTGGTGTGTTTTCTCTTGAATGCTTAAGGCTGTTTGTTGTTGTGGTACATACTATCATTGGTGCTTGTGAAGTCTGCATCAAATATGATTATTTTTGTTATTTAATTAGTGCAAAACTGTAGAACTTGCTTGAAGAAGTAAATCATTGAAAGAAAGATCATCACTGGAAGCTAACTGAATAAGGATCGGAAATATAAATTTATGTTGTGGAAGTGTCTTTTCAAACATCTTAAAGGCAATCTGCTACATTTAACCTTTCCAGTTACTTTTATGGGGTCTCTCTAGGCAGGCAAGTTTAATGCTTAGGGATTTTATCAGCAGAACTTCAAACTTATAGCTAAAATCACTTTAAATTTTGGATTACTAAGATTTATCTCATATCTACTGCAATTTTCACCATTCATTTTGCCTGACTTACTTTGATTGTTCAATAGGATATTTAGGTCTAGCAAAACAAAAAAGACTATTGAAAATTATATTAAGTAGTAGACTTGTAGGGGATGAAAGATAGTTTGAGTGTTTCAATTGAGGCTCTGACCTTGCAAAGTTGCACTCTGAAGGACTTGATT